TCTAGTCGTTCGGATGGGACGAAAAACCTGAGGTCATGTGTAAATAATCCCTTGGCAATTTGAATTCGATATAGGAGCAGGCCGTGGTGCCGCTGTCCGGGGGCAAAATTTCCCTCATAGCACACTGTATGGCGTATGCCCGTCTTCATTAGCCCAGGCGGAGCAGATCAGTAGGACGGTAAACTCCATTTTATTTCATTTTTTCATAACAGGCCATATGACATGCAGTGTAGAACGCTGTGCCTTAACAGCTCGGTAATCAGAAAGTTCCGGGTTCGAACCCGGTGTTGGCCGAGAAAGTTTTGGGCGATTTTCCAGTCAGGGTTTCTCTTGTCAGTGATGCATGACGGAGAGCCTTAAGACGAAGAGCGTCTAGTCGTGCGGATAAGGGGAAACACCGATTTCCTGTGTACCCCAGTCTGTTTGCCCTAGACCATCAGAACATAATGCATGGCACTTGCCCGGCTTCATTGGCCTGACTTAGAGCAGAAAACTAGGAGTTAAATCCTATTTCATTTCACTTCATATATTATTTATGAGATATCGTTCTCCATTTTTAATGCTTCTGATCACTTATGTGCCTGCCTTTATTTGTTCAACTGAAAGGCAGTAAGAATATATATATATATAGGTCTATGGTACTCCCATAAAACACCTAAGCTTCATCCCAACTACTTCATAAACATTGACAATATTTCTCTACCGTTTGATGTTGATTGGTTAATTACCAAGGAATCCTACCATCAAAGTTTACCCCCCTATTAGTCGCTTACGATCTTAACGAAAACTACATTTAACACCGCTTATAACATTAATAAATCTATCATTAGTGTTTTGGGCTAGATTATGGCCCTATTGAAATTGATGGCTGACAAAGGATGTGCTGTTAATAAATCATTTAACGTCTCGCACTGCACGGCGTAGACTTTAAGTGTTATTGGTCTGTTGATATTAAAGGGAGAGAGAGAGAGAGAGAGAGGGGGGGGGGGTTAACGTCCACTTCACACAAACTAGCTAGGTCATTTCGGGACTAACACATGGTTTAATTTTATTTCAAAAATTCGCTTACGCGTAGGAGTGTTTAGCAGTGGGAGGAAACCGGAGATCCCGGAGAAAACCAACGAGGTTGGACAGGCGACCCTACTCCTTGTCACGTACAACCGGGGAATCATTAAAGGAAACATTTATAGAAAAATAAAGAAGTGAAATTGGGTTTAACGTCCTACTTTTCTTCACCAACCGGGTTAATGGAGACGGACATACGCCATTTGGTGTGCTATGAGGGAACCTTTGCCCGGGCAGCGGCGTGTCCGCATGCTCTTTATTAAATCTAAGGGTTCTTTCACTACATGCCGCCGTGTACATGTGTCTTCTGTTTTCGGTCCATTCGAACAACTAGACCCTTTTCTTGCCGGAACATCAATGCTCTACCACTGACCACGCTGAAAACCCTTCGAGAAACTTTCTTGACCAGCCTCCTGGTCAGTGAGACAACGCCTTACTCGCTGAGCTAACATAGCCCCATCTACAGCGCACATGCTACACCATACTGTCATTTAAAACGTTTTAGAATGGACCGTATAGATGGACAGGCAACGGGTCCCTTTTCTGCCGCTCGCGCGAGACACGACGAGCTCTCCATGTCAACTGTAAACCAACCGACGATAGCAGGAAAACGCGTTTGCGGCCGTCCAATTTCCAAAATTGCCTTGGTGGGGTGGGGTGGGGGAGGGATCCCTACATCGAGCCTGTAAGTGATTAACGATAATAAACGATCTGCGCCACATATTCAAACAGTCATATCTTCGCCCAGAATAAAGTAATTTGAATGAAATTTTCAAAATATTAATTTTAAATTATCTATTTTTGAACTATTACAACAAGAAGGGACAGCGCTGCATCTAAATTTGGCATAATGCACCTTTAAGTTTCTGAATTTCACTTTAAGTTTTCTGTCTTTATAGAAATGGTTTAAAGGTTGATCATGTAAGCCTGGATGTAACTGTATATAATAATATGCTGTAATTAAATAGCCGATGGTGTAATTTAATTACAAACCAAACAGCCCATCAGCCCTTTTTATACGCCATTGTGTGTGTGGTAAACTAGACCCCATCATAACACAGCTGCCAATGACTTCCACGCTCTTTATTATCAACTCAAATCCATCCACTAGGCGCATAATGATAGGTTCATGTTACATGTAAATACATCTTTTATGACAATGATTTCTATTGGCTGGAAAGACAAACTCAAAATCACACTATAAGGAATTAAAGTGCTATATGTTTGCGCGGTGTTTTCGATGAATTTGTTTGTCATTAATGGAAGCCATTTAGAAATACATAATTCAAAATTTGTTTATCTTCTTGAAATCATTCCCCATAAATATTTTCTGATCGCTATTCTAAATCTTCTCACATAAAAGAGCAGTTTGTCCGAATAACAAAGGTAAAGATCGTACGTCATTTAAGATGGCGGTGTAATAAAAGAAGTACAGTGAATAAACAACTCCGCAGTAAATTAAAGGGAACAGGGAGTGAATTACAATTGCCGTGGCTATTCTTTTCATCTCCTTCTCCACATAATAAACCAAGGGTATAATTTGAAATCATTATACTCCTTTATTAGCCACGGTTCATTTCCACAATAACTGTCGTTCCCCGCCCGTGACGGCTGTTTTAACTGGTTAAACGATTGTGATGTCATAGGGTGGGATTTATGGTTGACCCCTGACCCCACGTGTATGGTGTAAAATGGCGTTGATTGTATTTTGACGTGACTGTTTGATGTTTAATAAAAGGAGCCACATATTAGAGAGGAAACCGATCCGCCCAACACGCGTGTCTTAAATAATTGCCTTTAAGGAGTTATCAGTTATTAGTGTCGTTAGAATCTTGAAAAGTTTTCGTACAGAGAATGGAACGAGGTTTAACGCCTCGCCAATACGTTGTCATTCTCAAACATAGTATCCTCGTACCGGTTTGCGTGCACGTTAAAGACGGCTTCACAGATGTCCAAACTAAACTTCAAGCATAATAGTAATTGTGTTCTCAATGTAGTGCACTTAAAAGAGCCTTAACAGTTGGAGAGAGAGAGTGGGGGGGTATTTTCACTCGACACAAACTAGGTCATTTCGGGGCTAACATATGGTTCAGTTCAATTTTATTTCAATAATCCGCTTGCGCGTAGGGTCTTTAGCAGTGGGGGGGGGGGCGGAAGACCTGGAGAAGACCCACGAGACTGGACAGGAGATCCTACTCCTTGCCAAGTACATTCGGGATGTAACGAGATATTGCAGCTCTTCTACTTAAAGGAAGAATTGGAAGTTATACAATCAAAAATAAAACTATCTTTTACTAAATAAAAAAATAGCACAACCAATAGAATACAAACATAATAAGAACACGTGATGAAATAGAATTAAATTATTTAACCATCACGAGAAGAAAGAAAACAAGAGAATAATCATCTTTCCTATTGAGAAGAGTTCAAGTTGGATATCTGTTGAAATATTTTAATTTTCTAAACAGCTTTATGTGGTGAATAACTTCACTGCTTTATAGCTTCGTGGGTCATCGCGTTGATAACTCGCCTTAAATCATAGAGTAAGTTGAGAACTTTTAGCTGTCAAGTTAAGTGAAATAGCAGAGATTTTAAGCCTCGTTACTGACATAATTTAGACAATAATACTCTTGTTGCATGCACACGGTTTAATTTAATTTACTTGCCCATTCTTTAATAGATTTACCATTCATAGCAACCAGTCACGCGTTAATATTCAGCTCATAGTTACATCCACTTCCGGTTATGTTTAACGTTACGAGAGAGATAACGTTTTGTTGTTTCATGAAGAGAACTGATGTGTAAGGATTGGTTCGGTTTTATTAACTGTGGTGAGATTGTTTTTAGACTAACATGTGAATGTTTGATTTCCTGCTACAGCCAGATTCCAATTACAAGATAAGTCCCAACCCTCCTCCCCACTCTTAAGAAAATTTAGAAAAATTGTAGGTACCGGTCGGCTACCCCATCCGAGTCCCTTTGACATTCTGAAAACTTCTTAAATTGGGCCGAATATATTCCCCTTTCAGAATTTCTTCAATGATTTTTTTCTTTGGCAAAATTCTATGGTTAATATGAAAGTTTACGAGGGTAAGTAGTGGGGCAAGAGATAGGAGTGGCGCATGAGTATCTGAACTCGCAAACTCACTGTCACCACGGCTAAATCTATTTATCAAGGCCAGCGCAATTTTGTCAAGGTCGCTGAGATGTATATATGAAAAGTTGACAACAGCCAGTCAGTCTTACTAGAAAATATTAGATTCTCTGAAAAACAGCCACGGGGTGTGCAAAAGACAAATACGTGCGGTTATCCCTAAAAGGCAGCCTCGTGTGGCGTAAGGGGAGCTTGTGTGTTGATCTAATTTTTAACGGTTCTGAGAACATTGAGAGAATGAAACGTCCTGAAGATTCTGCGATTAAACGGCGGAAAAATAACTTGACAAAAGATAATCTAGGAATTGCTTAGGCTTCGACAAATACCAAGTGATAAGCACGGCTGATAGAAGAAAATCTCTCGGCATGGAGAGGGATTTAAAGCAAACCTTATGATATGGGACGGTACACTGAGGCCCTGTGCACATGTTGGTGTGCATTAAAAGATACCCAGACAGTTGGAATTTGCCGCTGTCTGGGCAAAATTTCTCTCATCGCACACTACACATGTCTGTCATCGTTAGCCGGGTTGGTTGCGGAATAGAAAGCCGCAAAACCCCATTATATGTTTATATCGTCTGTATTTAATCACAGAAGCAGACGACTTCCAAATTATGCCCATATCGGGAGTTGGAATATCGTTTTATTATGCTTTTATGCTTATTAGACACATTTTGTTGACACCCGGGCAGATTATAGTCAAGTCCAAGGCATCTCCACACCCCGGCGATTCACCCCACTCACATCTCCCACAAAAACAACAAAGACAATTATTCTTTTAGTTTATACTATTATTTCATAAATACTAGTTTACCCATAATACACTAAACATAAGTATCAACGGCTACAGTTTTGGGATTTACATGTAGGCATACTTGTGGTGGTACTCGATTCAACGTTCCAGGAATTCGATTGGATCAATTTCTCCAATATGACATTCGAGACAACAAGCATGCGCTAACTGAACAACCGAATATCTCAACCAATCAGCGAAGCTGAAACACGTTCAACATGTTTCACTGCGTTACGACTCTGCTCAAAACACTTCTACTGGGACTGACAGACCTGTGTCATTTGATTGAAATTGTGTCAGTTCGGAACTTTCGGCTATCTCAACGGTAACCTAAGTCTACACACGTGCCAAACTTTCAGGGAAACAAATCGGCTATCTTGCTAACATATTCGATTATTTGAACCAACTGCAAATAATTGAGTTGATCATTGAAAATATTTTTAATTTAAAAAATGAGACTTGTTTAATTACTTCACGTCGATTGACAAGTGCAATGTCTATACACAGTTCATAAAATACACCAAGTCTTATTTTTGGAGACTCTTCGCTCCATTCCATTGATTTACGTTTCACTGCGATAAACCTCGACACAATTCCTAATATAAGAATTGTCATTATTTGGTCGGGCTTTTATGGTTTGTTTATATTTCCAGGATACACACACGGTTTCCGTATTTGACATCAATTTCTTTAGTACATTTCTAGAAACTAAAATGAATAAATAGTCATCAATGCCCTTATCATTGGTCATTTTAAAAACACAAACCTTGGCTCACAGTTTTCAATTTGACCTTGAGTCATAATGTCAATAATGATAACACAATTTTTGATCCTGACGTCATAGTATTCATCTGATGAATATTCTTAAACATTCTTAACCCACATCGAAATTAGCCAAGTTAGATGCTAGTTAGTGGTCGGCACTTTAAAAGGTCGACACTTTAAAATTCAACGTCATCACTAATTGTTACTATAAATACACTATGCACAATGTCACATGATTAACACGTGATTCACGTTGTTTGCTCGTCACTCATATCAATGTCTTCCTCATCATCTTCAGAGGCTTCGTGGTGTACCTTCGAGGGACTTTTTTCAGAACATGGGTTACTGGATGTAGGCGAGCGACTACTATGACTAGGACTACGCGACGCGATTATCAGGGTATCAGTAACTTTAGAAATATCAACATCTAACGGAAGTGACGGGTCTATAGATTTAGTAGCTGTGACGTCATTCTTCAACTCTTCCAAATCTCGTTTCAATTTTGCGCGCCTGTTCTGGAACCACGTGATCACTTGCGCATTTGTTAGTCCAAGGTTCTGCGCAATTTCATCCCGATCCGCAGGTGTAAGGTATTTTTGATATAAAAATCTTTTTTCCAGTTCATAAATTTGTTGATTTGTAAACGCCGTTCGTGATTTTCGTCGTTTTTTCGGGGGTTGATTTTTCCCAAACAAAGCCGACTGTTCTCTTCTTTTAGCTTCTGTAATGAGAAAAAAATATTATAAGGTAAAGTTTTCATCGGAAATAAACACAACAATCTATCTTAACATGTTGAAAATAGGCCTATCATGTCGTGCAATAGGCCTAACATACAATTCAATCTTATTAGGCCTAATCCGGTATGATAGGCCTATTGGGGTTGAATGGTGTATTAGGCCTATTGGGGTTGACTGACATGTCAGGTCTGTACGTGTTAGGCCTATTGTGTTTGAATGGTATGTTAGATCTATTGACGTAGGCCTAGTGTGTTTGAATGGTGTGTTAGGCCTATTGGGGTTGACTGGATTGCTAGGCATATTAAAAGCGGGATTAAGTACACTTTGTTTTTTTAAAAAAGGAGAACAAAATCGACATAAAAACAAAATAAATCTGACAGGAACCATCACGTTCTTTCTAAAAAAAGACACGTAACACGTCATAAACTTTACATAATTATCTACCACTTGTTTGTTTTGCATGTTAATTAATTCTAAATTATGAATTAAAAGACGGCGTTGAACTAAATAATTCATAGTTTTGTCTTTAAGAAACGCGTGTACGTCTGTGGTAATCACCATTGTCGACTAAACGCCTAATCTATCATCCTACACGTACAAACAAACATGGCGGCTCCTTAGAACTTGAAACAGACGTGTCATGTAGGACATGCGCAGCGGGTAAAAACGACTGTTAGGATCTGTCAGAGATGAAAGCGGTGTATTGAAGCTCGCGGGTATAATCTGTCAGTAGATATTGTACTTATTATACACCTATCATGACTGTAACACGGTGAAACAACTAACAGGGATATTAAACACGGTTCTGCGTTAAATAATGCATAACTCGTAGATAATTACATCGTGAGATGCATCTTCATCTTGCTTTACCGAACCGCAGTAGTTGATTAGCTAAGGATAAGAATTTCGACTAGATGTTTCTGTTCAAGTCCCGGCATGGATCGAGAACATGTCGCGGGAATTTGCAACTCCTGTTGCCAAATAACCCTCTTATCGGTGGACAGTTTCCGTCACAGAGGTTAAATATGTATGCTAACTATTGCTAATAGAAGCCAACTGCTAGGTTCGGGGATTAAAACACTGTGACTGAAACGTAATAAATTTCCTGTTATCATTGTCTATAAAATCGAGCTAGTTGAGTGGATTGGGTAGTACATTCTCCACTAGAATGAATGTCCCAGCCCAATTTCAGCGTGGATCAAGAATAACCTTAGTCCTGTGTTTTATGCAACCAAAACCTCCTGGTTAGCGCAGCTCCCCACAAGTTAGGGGTGACTGTCGTTAGACTAGGACGAGAACCGAGGTACCGTCTTTAAATTATACTTGCAACCAATTGCTGTATTAATGCAGGGTTATGATATGATAAATTTGGTCTTAAATATGTTATATTTTTCTATTTCCATGTGAATATTGTTTTCTGTTTGCATGCAAAATTTTTTTGTTGTTTCCATGTGAAAATTTTTTGTTGTTTCCATGTGAATATTTTCTGTTGTTTCCATGTAAATATTTTATCTGTTTCCATGTAAGTATTTATTGCTGTTTCCCTGTGAATAATTTTTTACTATTTCTCTGAGTATATTTGCTGTTTCTATGTTGTACAGTTATTTTTTTTTAATTATATTTTTTTATTTCCATGTGAATATTGTTTTCTGTTTCCATGTGGAATTTCTTTGCTGTTTCCATGTGAATATTTTGTACTATTTCCATATGAATATGATGTGATGTTTCCATGTAAATATATTTTTGTTGTTTCCATGTTTCAACTTCAAGGTGAATATAATATACTGTTTCGGTTGAATATTTTTTACCGTTTCCATGTGAATATCTTTTTAATATTTCCATGTGAATATTTTTTTTAATATTTCCATGTGAATATTTTTTTTTAATATTTCCATGTGAATATTTTTTTAATATTTCAATATGAATATGTTGTGGCGTGTCCATGTGAATATTTATTTTCCTATTTCCATGTGAATACTTTCTACTGTTTCCATGTGAATATTTTGTACTATTTCCATGTGAATATTTTGTACCGTTTCCATGTGAATATTTTGTACTTTTACCATATGATTATTTTTTTTTTTACTGCTTCCATGTTCCAGATGAATAATTTTACTGTAAACATTTGAATATTTTTTATTGTTTCAATGTTCCATGTGATTTATTGTTTACTGTATACATTTGAATACTTTTCTTTCTGTCACTGTTTCCATGTGAATATTCATTTTACATTGTCCATCCGAATGGTTCCATGTGAATATTCCATGTGAGGTCTCGAGTACACATTGGTGTCCACGTAAAAGAACCCTGATAGTTGGAACTCGGTGACATGACGTATGAAATAGCACATCAAATCAACCCACGTTAAAGGGACAATAACAGTCTTGCTGGCTTGACAGCTCCAGAAAATAAAAAACAGCCTTATTCTAAGTACTAGATGTGTTAGTGTCCTACCTGTTGTGTAAATTATCAATTAAATCCTATTTTACTTGTCCAGAGGGTTCAAAAATATTTTTAAATTCAAGTCACATTTGAAAAGCTTTACGTCAGGTTTTTAAAATTATTTAGTTGAATTTTTCCAATTTTTTAAATTAGGTGTGTTAAGATGAAATTTGTATCATCAATTAATTGGAATATTGTAAAATAGTACAATTTGTTTACCAGAATAAAGATTGGGACATATTATTCAGTTACAACAAGAGTGGTATTGAGCCTTTAATAGTTTATTTTGACACTAAATGAAACAGGTGTAGTTCTTTTAAATCATTTCCAGAAGAAACCATTCACAATTAAAAAATCATTATTCTGAAGACTTATCGTTTAGTTCGAAAGATTTAAGTGTGTACCGGAAGTGATGTACTGTAGGCTACATATTTTATTCTTTTGCTGTCTACTTCAATTTGAAAAGTGTGTAAATGAAATCATATTCATACGCTAATTGGAGAAAGCATTTAGAATATTTTCTGTTACTGAGCCAATTATCCGCAATTATAAATTCGGTGTCAGTCAATTAATAATTAACGACTAATGTTTATTTAGATTGCTAAATTGGTTCTAAAAGCGTCTGGGTGTTCAGGGTGATAATCTATGCCATTAAAATGATAACACCCCAATTCCACGTGGACTGCACGAGACAAACTCTCCCCGGGGCTCCATTATGACGAATGCAGTTTTCAGTTCAATTTCATAGTTTCGCATTAAAATGGCAGATTAATAAATATATATAATATATACCGAATTAAAATCAAAACGTCCCATTTTATTTGGTTTATGATTAGCACGGAAAAAAATAATGGATTTTAAATACTGTAATTCTAAAATACCCAAACTTACCACTCTTCTTATAACTGAATAATATGACCCAATCTTTATTCTGGTCAACAAATTGCACTATTTTACAATATTCCAATTAATTGATGATACAAATTTCATCTTAACGCATCTAATTTTAAAAAAAATGGAAAAATTCAACTAAATGATTTGAAAAGCCTGACGTAAAGCTTTTCAAATGTGACTTGGATTTAAAAATATTTTTGAACCCTCTGGACAAGTATAATAGGATTTAAAGGTTAATTTACACAACAGATAGGACACTAACACATCTAGTACTTAGAATAAGGCTATTTTTTTATTTTCTGGAGCTGTCAAGCCAGCAAGAGTGTTATTGTCCCTTTAATAATCAACAAATGTAAAATCTGACAAATCTAAATTAGCCTTTTGCTTTTCCATTCTAAATTAACTAATTTAATCTCGCTGAAATCTTTTGATGGCCTTTTTCGAATTCGTTTAAACCCAAGCTGGGAGATTATCTATCTTCGATGTTTTGAGTTTCTTTTATTAAATAAATTATAAATAATAAAAGTTTACGTCCATTTTCGCATTGAAATGAAATAAAATGGGGTTTAACGTCCTACTGTGCTGCTCCGACTGGGATAATGAAGACGTACGTACACCATACATTGTACTATGGGGGACATTTTGCCCGGTCATCGGCGCTATGACCTACTCTTAAATTGAATTCTAACTGCCAACGGTTCTTTTACGTCTACGCCAATGTGTAAGCGGGTTTTCGTCCCATCCGAACGACTATACGTTGTCCCTTACCAGTCCCTCTGTCCTGCGGCCCTGACAAGGAGGAACCACGCCGTAAAATACAGATCAATCTTTTCGGCCAAAGCAGGGATCGAACACGGGACCTCCCGATTAGCGAGCCTACATATTACTGACTGCGCCACCGTGGACCCCCTTCGCATGGATTAAACTGTGAAAATTAGAAGTTTTCCGAAAAACGCAAATGGAGATCAGCAACTTTAACTAATAAACTATAGCATGGGCTTGAGGACTTTTCATTCTAAATTAACTTACACATTTTCAAGACCACCACCCCCCACCCACACAAAAAACGATTGTAAAACTATTAATTTATGCCATATTGTAATTTAGGGGGGAAGTTATTGTAAAAATATTAAATTATCCCATGATGATTTAGAGGGAGAAGTTATTGTAAAGCTATTAAATTATACTGTATTGTGATGAGAACATTCTAGGGTAATGTAAATTAAGATTGATGGGAATACTGGCCCGCCATATTTTAATAAAATGTTGAACTATGCTGACTATTAACATGATTTATTATATTTTAACACGAAATATCAAACTAAAATGGTGTCCATCCTTTTATTTATTATAGTGATATAGTTGTTGTAAAATCTGAACCCAGATTATGTTGATGTCTAAAACTATGTAGACCAGTGGCCTTCAACTATCTTCGTCGCGTTTACCTCTGGCAAATTTAAGAAAGTAAATTTACCCACTCTGTTTTGTTCAGTATTTTGAGTTCACACTTCTACCTTTATAAAGCAACCGATAAAGGTTGGAATTTTAAAATACTGTTTTAAACATTATTTTTTTAAGTTCAGTTTATAATAGAGGGCTAAAAATATTTTCTTCCCAAATTTCCTTCCTTTTTTTTAAAATTAAACAT